AAAAAAGTCTATCTAAAAGGAAAAAGCTGAGGAAACATAGATATAAGTTCACAGTTTATTTGGGCCAAGCTTGAGAACTGTAACCTGGGAGAAAATATTCAAGTTGCCTGAAGCACACTTGATTAGCAGTGTGATTACAAGTTGATCTGTAAAGAAGAAAAAAGATGGACAGAGAGTGGGTTGATACAAAGTTGTTAGGAAGTTTTATTTATTTACAGGAATAACTGATTATTAATTGGATATACATCAAGGTATAGATTATGAGTTACAGTGTCCAGTGTGGCATTATTGATATATATAGCTACTTGTGGCAATAGCAAACAGCTTCGAAAGTTAAATACATAGTTCAAAAAACAGAAAAAGAAACAGAATTCTGCTCTCATTTTAATGTCTCTTTAAGTTTGACAACTAAAAGGACTTACATCTCTCAGAAAAAAAGGTTTTCTTTTTTTCTCAAATCTGAAGACCTGGATTCAGAATTTGAAGTTGCAGATTTAGGTCCTGAATGGGTGGAGTAGCAACAGGTGTTCCCTGCATATTTGTGGGCATTTTAGCAAGAAAAAAAAGAAAGTAGATATGCTCCTGTGTATATGTCAATGCACACAAGTTACTGTGATTGGGTTTCTGGGCCCCATAGTTTGTGAATCAGTTTCAGGTCTGAGGATACAAGAGTCATTGAAAAATGCAAAATTGTTGTTTGTTCCCAGGTGAAGTTTGTAGAATTCTGATCTAGCCTCTCTAAAAGTTACTGTGGAGGACTATAAATACCAAATTGGTAGAGAGACAATTCTGCCTGCAAAGTTAGGGGACAATATGCACTTTGCAGCATAATTGTGAGTTGACTGATAGCCTGAGAGGGAAAGTTTCCTCTAGAGTAAAGCTTGGTTAGTATCTTATATTTTCATATCATGTCTGGTGCTTCTAGACAGTTTTTGTGAAACATAATTAAAAGACAAATTTTCTTCAGCCCCAGAAAAACTCTACAATAGAACAGACATTTAATTGTGTTATATTACACAATTAAACCTGAATATGACATGCATCACAGTCAATCTGCTTAACAGACTGCAAAGACAGAAATACAGTAACCATAATTGAAAAATTTATAGAAAGTAGAAAAATTAGAGACAGTAGAAATATGGTCATGTAAGCTAATCAGTTATGTTCAATGACAAGATAAACTTTTCACATCTTCGTGAAAGGAGGTAATTTTGCAACTTAAAGCCAGGTGCCTGCTAAAGGTAGGCTCTAAATCCCCTACAAAAATGGTTGAATAGGGTGATATCTTTTTGGCTATTTACATTTTAAAGCAATGGCTCTCTACTCCCTGAGCACTGGTCTACAGCTCTCCTGCTTGCCCTCTCCTGTTAGCTGTGTCCTCTCTTGACCCCTACCACCTGCCATTGAGACAGAGCCTACAGCATAGGGCTCACAGCTGAAAGCTCACATCGTACAGAAACCACAATTGCCATGGCAGCACTTCAGTGTCACCTCAGAGGGTGAACCCTAAGCTGAAAGAAGACAGCCTGCAGGCCTCCAGGGGAGAACTACGGCTTCACAATAATGGAAATTGGAACAGTAATTCAGCCTCAGTTTTTATATACAATGGTGACAGGGAAAAACTACTGCTGGATTTCCAACATGAGTCCAGATAGAGATAGCTCCAAAAGTTTTCACTGGGACAGCCCGCCTCATTCATAGACACCATGGAATACTTATAGTGCAGATGCCCAAAGTATTGGACAGAAAAACAGCTCTCAGTCAGGGTAAGATTATGCTCAGAGAAAAAAACAAGTCAAAAGCATCTTAAGTATAAACTCAGTTTAAAGATTTATCAAATCAGCCAGAAAACGTTCTCTTAAAAGTAGAATTTCTCTCTCAACAAAGTGCATAGCTACTCTCAGCACGAGAAACACGAGCATTATAAAGAAAAGGGGTGAGGGTTGTGAAGCAAACAAGCCTACAGTGCTGGGGCATATTCTCAGCAAAATTTTATAAGGTTTATCTTCTATCTCTGCCGCTTTCTCATCTTCTAGCCATTGAATGGTGGTTCTATATTGAAATACATCTCACAATTTCCACCAGCACTTTTTGATGAAGACTTATAATCTGACTTTGTTTATATAGTGGAATATATTTAAGCTTGCCACATAGCTAACTGAAGAGCTATTGTGGTTTTTGGCTGGCCACATCATCTGTGTTTATTTGTCCTATAATAGCAGCATTCCGATTTAGTGAAAAAAGAGACACTATAAATAGGTCAGGCATGGTGGCTCAAGCCTGTAATCTCAGCACTTTGGAAGGCTGAGGTGGGTGGATCTCCTGAGGTCAGGAGTTCGAGACCAGCCTGGCAAATATGGTGAAACCCTGTCTCTAATAAAAATACAAAAATTAGCTGGGTGTGGTTGTGGGTGCCTGTAATCCCAGCTACCTGGGAGACAGGCTGGAGAATTGCTTGAGCCCAGGAGGTGGAGGTTTCAGTGAGCACAGGCTACACCATTGCACTCCAGCCTGGGTGACAAAAGCAAAATCCCATTTAAAAAAAAAAAAAAAAAAGTATAATTATGCTTACCTATAGTTATCCTACTGCATAAGTTAATAAACACGTCAGATTAGGATCTACTTTAACAATTTGGTAGTAAATTTTATTTGGATATTAGAAATAAATATAAATAATTTTAATGTACCAGTCAAAAGGCATGTAAGAATTTTTAAAATTGTCTGTAGCCATAATTTAGTTAAAACACTATATTTCAAAAGTATGAATAGCAATATTAAAATGTCCATTTAATGAGTATTCTATCAAATTAAATATTTTGGCCTTACATTCACACTTCATTGAAGAAAATGCTGTTTAATTTATATGAATGCAAGTTGTCTACAAACACTACATGTAACTATGCTTGCTAGTTGTTTTAAAGTAATAAATTAAAACCAAAGTACAACTACAGAATCTACTGTTGAGTTTATACATTGGACTGTTCTTGCTTTTGCAGTGTAAATACTTCAGCCTGCAAATATTAGATAATTACCTTGGATAAT